CAGGATTTTTAAAAAACTGCAATGCAAAATAAAATATTAATATTATGTGGCCTAATAGCTTTACTACTTCAAACCAGTAATAGCATATTGTCATTTAAAAATAAATGATACTTATCATATGGCAAGTCATTTTTGTTATAAAAAATCATTTATATTTTTATAACTATACTTGTCATTTATAGTTTATATAAATTTTATAGACTAGCAACATGCAAAAAAAAATGAATAGTAGCAAGGCAGCCCAATAGTAGCTCTAAAAAAGTAGCTAGCTATATTTGCATCTAGCCTATAAAATCCTGAAATTTTTTAAAATTTTCATGATTATAGCTAGCCTGCATTATGCAGGTAAGAAACCACTAGCTAGGATTATGCATTGTTATATTATTTTATTAATATTTTATATATTTCTTATTTTGGTATAGTTTGTGGTATAGTTGGGTGACTAATACTCTGAACAAGGATTAATAAACCTCAATGAGAAATAATAACTTTCAAAGAGATTTAAAATCCTATATGAATAAAGATACATAAGAGTATTAATATTATTGTTATTTATTTGTTATTTTAATATTATTTATAAAAATATTTTTTATGACTTGTTATGTTGTTATGGTTTTGTATAAATTTTTTTTAATAATAAATGGCATTATCATTTTAAAATAATATGTTATTTATGATCATTTTTATAAAAATTTTTATAACCTTGTTATTTGTCATTACTGCTTCAACTAATATGTATTAAGTCTTAGCTTGGCTTTAAAATAAATATAATTTATAAAATTATGAGATTAAAATACTACTATATCTTTAACTAATAGTACAGTAAGTCTACAAGATATGATTTATGTGCTTTGAATACTTTTGTAAAAGTTAATCAAGTTAGATTATAAGAAATTAGCCTTATTATATAAATGTAGCTATCTTTATATTTATTAGTTTAAATATTAAAAGAGTATAAACTGGTTTTATTTAAAAAACAAATAGCTGATAGCTGGTTGTTGCTCAATTTCCCGAAAGCTATTTATCCGACAGGCTACTTACCCCACATCACATAGGGTTAGGGTTAATATTTTATTAGCTGTAGGTATATATTTTTAGCAATTTGTCACCCTTGTGATGTCGAGTAAGTGGCCTTTCAGGTAAATAACTTTCAGGGAATCATATCGTAACCCTGACAGCTTATTTTGTTTTTTTATTCTGAATTTATAAAAGAAAATTTGACAGAATAACTAACTGTTCAAGGTCAAATAAATATTTTCATATTAGTCATACCAATTTGTAATTTTATATTATATAATAGGTTTTTACTAACTATAACTAGTGGTGATCATCACTGATATTAATTAGCCAATAATGATAAACTAAAAAAAGATTTCATTTCATTTGCTTTAGGGTTAGGGTAAGGCCTGGGATTTTAGCAAGGTATTAGATATATACAAAATTTAGCAAGAAATTTTATTTGTTAGAGTGTTAAAAGTAGTTTCATAGGCAAATTCTTGAAATATTAACCTTTTTTAAAAAAAATCTTTATTTTTGTTATACAAATTGATTTGCACATTACACCTGATCCTGCAAATTTATTGGCTAATTATATACTGGTGATAATCATTACTAGTTATAGTTAGTAATATTCTACATAATATTTGTTATAAGGATTATTATTATATTTTTTATATATTAACACAGGTCGAATGAAGACATATAAATAAATATTAGAATACTAATATGTACTGATAGATATTCTAAGGTATTATAAAAATTTACTAATAGTTAATTCTGATATATATCTGATATGACTTTTATATTAAACAGAAATTTGGCTAGTATAAGGCATCTATCAGAAAAATATAAGATAAATATTAATGCTATATCAGTGCTATATTGGTAATCTGATTTGTAATATAGAAAACCTGATATGTATCTTATATTTCTCTAAAATCAGATACTTATTAAATTATTTAAAACTTATTAGTATAATGATATATATTAAAGAATTAAATTTATTAAAATTTTTATTTAAAAAAAATAAATTTTATATTCTATATAAATTGCTAAATCAATCAAATGAAAACTCCAACCCAACAAAGTATCCTAGCAATAGCAAATAAAGAACTTTTTATATATAATAATAAATTAACTAATAATGAATTTTGAATTTGGTATAATAAAACACAATCAGAAAAAAATCAAAACAAATGTCTATTTTTTTAAAAATACTTATATGTTGAGTAAGAACCAATTTTTTAGTTATCACTTGATATTTTTATTCTTTTCATAGCTAGACTACTCACTCAACAGCAATTTTAACCCTAATTTCAGTAGCAACTTCAATAGTAACCAACAATAGCTCTAGTGCGATTCTGGCAGCAACTTCAATATCAGTTCTAAAATTAATATACCAGAAAGCAAAACCAAAAGTCCATTTTAAAGCTTTAGCTAAGGACACTAAAAGTAATAAAAAAAGAAGCTAGAATCTAAAAGAAAAGAAGTATGAGGTTAGTAAACTAATTATATATAAAAAAAATAAGATTTATCAAAAAGAATACCAGGAAGTGAAATTGAAAGTCTATTCAAAGATCTAACTATGAATACTAAAAGTAACTAGAAAAGAAGCTAGAACTTAAAAAAAAAAATAAGGTTAGTAAACTAATTATATATTTAAAAAAAAACAAAAACAAAAATACTTATAAGAAAGAATGTCAGAAAGTGAAACTAAAAGTTCATTTTGAAGATCTAATTATAGATCCAAAAGTAATAAGAAAGTAAGCTAGAATCTAAAAAAAAGAAAAATAAGGTTAGTAAGCTAATTATATATTTAAAAAAATAAGATACTTATAAGAAAAAATGCTGAAAAGTGAAACCGAAAGTCTATTTTAAAGATTTAACTATGAATACTAAAAGTAACTAGAAAGAAAGCTAGAACCTAAAAGAAAAAGAAGAATGAAGTTAGTAAACTAATTATATATTAAACAAAAATATTTTAGAAAAAGAATACCAAGAATACAACCAAGAAGTGAAACTGAAAGTCTATTAAAGATCTAACCATAAATGCCAAAAAAATAAGAAACCTAGAAACTTAAAAGGAAAAGAAAAAAGTTAGTATACTAAACATATTAAAAGCAAAAAGTATAAAACAAAAAAAAACACGTAAAAAACAATAAAAAGAATCTTCAAAAGCAAAGTTCAAAGAAAGTTGTAATTATGAAAATTTAAGTAGATAAAATTTTTTTATATAATCACAAATCTTAATTGTAATTAGCTAATCATAAGCTAATGATAGTATCTCATACTCAGATTTAAATTATTTAGCTTTAGTTTATTTCTATTTAGCCATTTGGTTTATTTTTTGTAATATTTGTTCTTTAATAAATTATGTATACAGTTTAGTATAAAAAGTGCCATGTGTTTTTTTATTAAAATAAACTAACAATTTTTTATAATAATTGACTGTATTTTTAGTAATTAATCTTTTATATATTTACTTCATCTTAGATTAATATTTCTTTTATATACGAATTTTTTTAAATTAATATAGTTAAACTTTAATTTTTAATCTACTTAGACTATGATGAGAAATTTTGTTAAAATAAATAAAGCATTAATTTGCTCATAATTAGATACTAAGATTTTTTTAAAATATTCTATGCTATTAAGAGGTTAGTTATTACCAATAATATATTTAAAAAACTTTTAACAGGCATTATATGCTTATTTAGATTATTATCACTATATAATTATAAATAAATTATGAATAAAATACAAACCAATTTTAATATCTTCTTTAAATAGCTAAATATTGTTTTTTTACAGTTATTGTAATTTTTAACTTGATATTGATAAGCTAACTAAACAGTTTGCTAAAGTGCAATAAGTAGATTTGATATATTTAAAGCTTATTTAAGTTTTAGTTTGATAGTTTCTTGTAATTAATAGAATAATAGCTTGTTCATAATATTAAAAACATATCAATAATAAGTTTTGCATTTCTAATTTTAAAATCATGATATACTTTATTATAATAATAATAAGTTATCTTCAAAAATTAGCTATCAGAAACTAATATTTCTTCTAATATTAATAAAAAAAATTGTGAAAATATCAGCTTATTCAATATTGCTATTGGTAGTCTGATAGTAATATCGAAATAAACTGATATTTTTTTGATATTTTTTAGAAACTATCAGACTACCAATAGCAATAGCAGAATAAGCTGATATTTTTTGATTTTTTTTTATTAATATCAAAGAAATATTAGTTTCTGATATATTTTTAATAATTACCTAACCATATGTATCATAATTAATTAATAGTTTTATTATTTGTTAGAAACTTTTCCAATTTTATATCTATCTATATTTTTAAATATCAGAATATTTATGAATATTTCAATAGATATATTAAAAAAATATATTGATATTATAGCAAGCATAATTTTGTATAAAGCTGATAGTATTGTGTAACTTATTTGAACTACATACTATAAATAGAGATAGATCAGTTTAGTATAGTCTGACCAGTCTGACTTCTGTTCTAAAAGCAGTCTGACATCAACTATTAGCAGAGAGAATAAAATCACAATATTGGTTATTAATTTTTAAAATAATTTTTTAAATCTCAGATATTTTATATTTAATAACATGTGTAAATTTTTATATAAATAAGTATTCTTATATTATTATATTTTAAATTTAATTACACAAGTAAATTTTATATAAATAAGTATTCTTGTATTATTATATCTTCTTTTATCATAAGTGCTTGTTATCATTAGATATTAATTTGTTTTCTTCTTGCGCAATAGTTTTATTAAATATAAATACACAGGCTTAACACAAAAGGTAATGATAAAAAATTTTTGATAAATGAATTTTGATAATAGAAGACACAACTGGAAATAATACACTACCATATCTCGCAAAATTTCTAATCCAATATCTTCTGACTTTTAAACTCTGATAATAATGATATTGCTAAATTTTATCAACCACCTATTCCTAATAATGATAATTCTTTTTCTAATTCAATCTCTAGAAATATTAGAAGTATTTAATGAATATTTTCAAATATAAGTGATAGATATCAATCACACCAACCATCCTCTACTTGCTCCTATTATAATTTATATCTTACTAGCCTTCCTCTACTTCTCAAAATAAATCTACATCCTACTATAAATCTGATCTTGCTAAGAATCTAGATTTTGCTATGAATCTAGATCTTGCTATAGCAATCATAATCAATCATTATCCTTATCTCAATGATATTCTTCAAGAACAATCACAAGATTCACAAGATAATCTCTATAACATGATAGCAATAAAAGATCAGAAATTAAAATCATATACATAATCAACATGGTACATATATGAGGCTTTTTTCTTCTTTTTTTTGACAATTTTCAGATTCTTTATATATATATATATATATATAAAGTGAGTATAGGTATTATGATGCAGATAAGTTTTATGGCCAATAGCATGTAATCTAGTAATCAGGATCGAATGATTTGATACCATTCGATTCATCTCGATAAGGCAAATTAAATGAAATCAAAATCGTTTAATTCTAATTACTAGATCACAAAATATTATAAATTAAAATAAAAGTCAAAAAGGATATTCTATAGAATAGCTGGTCATTATAAAAAATAAGCTTTGCTATTGATTAGTAATCATTAATTTTTAATAGCAGAATTGCAAAGTTTGTGAAGTTTGCCCATCTATTCTATAAAACATCTATTAAAAATTAATAAATTATAATGCAAGACCAATTATAGCATATACATAATAATTTGTGATAATTCATAAACTAGTAATTGCAACTAGATGATTTTGGTACTATTCAATTTATCTCAATAAGATAAATCAAATGATACCAAAATTGCTCAATTCTGATCAATAGATACCAAGATATATTTAATTAAAGATTAATTTTTACTAAGTTAAAAAATTAACTTTAACAAGCTATTAATAAATTTTTTACTAAGTAAATCGATTTTTATTATTAAGATAATTTTGTTTGCATAATGAATTCAACTTAATATAAATTTTTATGAAAATCAGATAATTTTTTATTAATTGACTTTTATAAAATATGCTTCTAGATTAAAAGAATCTATTATGGCACAAAAATGTTTTTTACAAATATCAATTAATAAAAAATTAATAGATTTTTATAAAAATTTAATATTAAGTAAAGTTCATTATAATAAAAAAAATTGTCTTAGTAATAAAAACTGATCATATGCTCTGATTTTTAAAATTTAAATTAGGGTTTTTTAGGATTTGTATTTTTTTAAATTTTAAAAGCAAATAACTTTTAATCTTCAAGTTTTTAAAAAATAATTTTATTATTATCATATTCACCTCTTTATTATGATTCTAACAAGTCCAAAATTATCTAAATCTAATTACAGGATCAAGAGATAAAGCTATAATTAAATAAAGACACACCTCATATATTGGACAATTGGTTAAATCTGGTCTAACCAATTGTCTAACATATAAGATGTATCCTTATTTGACCATAGCTTTATCTTTTAATCTTGTGATTAGATTTGGATAATTTTGGACTTGTTAGAAAAGGTGAATATAATAATAATAAAATTATTTTTTAAAAACTTGATGATTAAAAGTTATTTGTTTTTAAAATTTTAAAAAAAATGCAAATCCTAAAAACCCTAATTTAAAATTTAAAAATTAGAGCATATTTTACTTAATAAAAAATCTCATTATTAATATGTTACAATTGATTTTTATAAAACTTTATAAATAAAAATTTTGTTTATTTTATTTAAATAATTGTATCTTATGATCTAGTAATCAGGAGGATTAGATGATTTTACTACTATTCGATTTATTTTGATAAGATGAATTGAATGGTAATAAAATTATCTGATTCTAATTACTAAAATATAATATATTATATATGCACCATAATTGGTCCTGCATCATAATATCTATACTCACTTTATATATAATTAAGCAAACTATTGTAACAATTACCACCAGCAAGTTGATAAGCAAATATTCGCTCAACTTAAGCAATTGTACTTAATGTTTAAGAGGCTTGACAAAAATACAAATGAAATAAAAGCCAGGCTAGAGGATTGGAAAGACAACATGATGAATGAGAAAATAATTTTTTTACACAATTAATAGATATAAGTGTTTTTGTTTTTTATCATTGCAACAAATCTGCTATGTAAATTTAAATTCTAGCAGTATATAGCATATTGATTTGTGCTAAAAGATAAAAATATATATATATTATTGAACATGTTTACCTATATAGTGAAGCAGCTCTTTCTGAGCCATATATATCTCAGCAAAATAATTTAAAGAATACTTTTTGACAATGTCTTGAAGAGAAGTTTCCTAAATTTATGTATAATCTAAGTTTTAACCAATATACTAATAGGTTTCATTGAGAATAATTCAGCCTTATATATATTGATAACTATTATTTTTTTGTTTTATTTTGTTAATATTTATGCTTCTTTTGTTTTTGATTTTTTATTATTTTTAGAACTAGTTGTTGCAAAAAATGAAGAATCTTTGAGGTGCATCAGTTCAAAATATAAGTATAGCAGTATAGCATATATTCAGATACAAATAATTACTACTATTAAAGCAAAATACTGCACCAGCTAATATTTTAAATTGGAAATAAAGCAAAAAAGTTCGTGATTGTTTTTGTATACTGTTTAAAATGAACAATGATAGTGTTTTTGGATATCTATAATTGCAAAGTTGGCTTTCATTGAGATTGCTATATCTGAACTCTTTAATAAGCATTGCACCTTTATGCTTATAGTCTGTGATCTTTTACTAAATCTTTAGCCCAAAATTATTATATATATGAAAAAATGTCTTATACATCATATTGAAAAATATCTTGTAAGTATAATTATTATTAATTTGTATTACTATTAATTATTATTAATTATTATTTTTTGATCATTGTTAATATAAAATGATTTTGGTAATAGTAGTCTATCATATGATTTAGCTGAAGTGATATTAAATAATAAAAATATGCATTATGGTAGTAGTTTACAACAAGTATCACCCATTATGAAACTAAATCTGAAGCTGAATCTTCACTATCTTAACACATTGATTCATTCTTATCTTAGCATCAAATGAGACTCTCAAGAGGATGCTGATGAATTATTTGGTTGCAATTAATGTTTTTTGCTTTAAATTTATTTTTTTAAATTGATTGCTAGTTATTTATTATGTATTAAAATCATAATCTATAATAAAATTATGTATTTGTACTGTATATAGCATGATAATATATATACTGTGATATAATTATATATTGCTTTATTTATTTTTTTTAAGTTCTAGCTTCTTTTCTAGTTACTTTTAGTATTCATAGTTAGATCTTTGAATAGACTTTCAATTTCA